GCAGCACGTCGGAGCTTTTGCAGGTGACCCTGCGGAACATTCCCAGACGTTCTGCGGAAGTTCCGGTGTGTTGTCGGAGATGTTGTCGAGATAACATCCTAAAAGGCAACGCATTCAAAACCCTGCGGAAGTACTGGTAGGCCAAAGTGCTGCGCAACCCCCTGGCATTTTTCGGAATTTCCGCAGCGTTTTGTAGGAAGTCCTGTTCACGTTTTCAGCCAACTGGCGTGAAAATCCTGCGGACGTCCCATTTTCAACGTTTCCACGTTTATAATAGTAAACAGATCCTGCGCAACCGCTGTGATTTTTCGCTTGTCCTGCGGAAATTCCGGTAAATTGTCTGGGTAGCTCAACCTCCATGCCTCTCATGCCAATTTATCTTTTCACGTTTATTTTTCAAGCTTCCGACAAACATTCTACTATCGTACTAATTGCTGATTATCAGACGCTGCGTAAAAATACACTTCTACGAATAAATAAAGTTGTTTACGTTTGTTATAAGCAATTTGTAGCTATTGAGATTCTCTAGTTCCTTAAAGCTTTTTACGTCAAATAACATAAAGGAAGACGAACGCCAAAGCAAATACATATGTGACGTGGAAAATAGCCTGATGTTTGGAAGAAAATTACCCCTTAGGACATCCCATTACCATAACCTTTGAAAAGCAAAGTGGTTGTAGAGACTCACAAAATTGCCGGCTTTTTTGATGTGCACAAAACCATCGTGTGTTCCTATAGCGAAAAGCGATCCATCTCGGTTCCAAGCACATGATGAGCATCTGCCAGTGATTCGTTGTTTTTGAACGTTTTTCTCGTCAGCGGACCATAACCCTGGGTTGGGAAAGAGTTTAAAAAGGTTATAAACTGACTGCGGTAAGAATTATACCAAAATCGCCCACGGCACAGCTCAGAAGAAGAGGAGACACTGGTGAAAAAGCCAAGCATTGAATCGCATCCGAATGGCTGGAACACACAGTCTCTTACCCCTAACCGGGTAGGGTAAACTTTATCCTTACCTATACTTCAGCGTCCCCTCATGTTGTTCTGTCCAAAGTATAACCGACCTATCCGCACTGCCCGAAGCAAACGTCTCTCCGTCGTGGGACCACGCTACGGCATACACCAGATCCTTGTGCCCTGTCACGAAAGATTTTTTCAAATTTTCAAGAATTTGAGAGTAATAAACCGACCTTTGAGCACCTGTAGCAGTGTACCATCAATTCCATCATATATAATCACTTTATTATCAGCAGCAACCAAAAGTTCCGAGCCATC